GTAGTTATTGTTTCTCCACATTGGTCAATAACAGTGTCAGGTTGGTCACACAAATGTCATAACAATTTTGTAATCGTGACTTTGCCAAGGTCATTGCTGGCAGTGACACTGCGCAGATTAAATAAGGGATAGTTAAGGTGCAATTTTTCCTGATTCAGGAAAATAGCCATAAATTTGTTACACAATTTCAAAACTTGAAAAAAAGAAAAAAAACAAAACAAAACATCTTGAAACATTCCATCCATCCCCTTTCCCCAAACGGCAAGCTAAAGTTATTATCTTGGGTGAGTTGCTTCAAGAGGTAGATCAGGCCTGGCAGCAAAAGGACTGCAACCCATTCCCAGAAAATGGGGAAGTCCAAAGTGTATTCTCCAGGCCCAATCTCGCCCCCACTGGGTCTAACACAGGGCCAACACACTGGAAAGTTCCAGATATTGCTGTAGCTATTTTAAAAATCCCAGGCAGCTACAAGACCTAAAAATCTCACCTTTATTTAAAGTGGAAGGGACAACACCACCAGGGGGCGCTAAACTGCAAGTGGTGGCAGGATGACTGTAGAGGAGGGGTGGGATGAGCTGAGGGTCCAGCTACTCCGCCATCTTGCACCCCCCAGGGCAGAATGACTTTTATATCAGAAAGTCGGACCTTCAGAACTCTGCCCACTCTCTTACATGCTATGCTGCCCTAAGTATCACACCCACACCTTTATTATGATGGACGGTCATTAATATACTGGCAGCTTTTTCCTCCCTCTCCAGTAAGAAACAGAGAAATTAGGAGGGAACCTTTCTCAAGTTCTTAAGGAACTTCCACTCTGTCTCCCCAGATACAAGGAATGAGTGATCCTCTTGGTCACAGCTGGATATTTGTTGGACCATGATTAACTAGTGGATAGAGTTATTCCATGTTCAAAAACAAATACAAGTCCTACCTTTTCTTTTTAACCTGCAAATGCTCAGGCACAGGTTCTCCTGTGCCTTCCTCAGTTCTCCTCCTTTAGCTTTTTGTCCCTGGGTGGTAAGGAGACCAGGAAGGGGGAGGTGGGTAGGAAGGGGGCCATTTCCTTCTCTGTAGTAGCTTTCATTACTGATATAACACAAACTCATACTTTCTACATTTTTTTTTTATCTTCAGGAGTAAACACCCTGACATCTCTAAATACTCTGCAAAGACTTTTTGTTGAACCAGCAAAATCAAAACAGGAAATAGAGAATCCTTCTGTTGTCTCTACTGCCTCATACCTGTGACTTCCTAACCTTCTCTCTATCTAAGGCCAAAGGCTTTATAACCTGTATTCTCAAGACTTTTGAATTTGAGACACTGGCATTACTAGTAGTCAGATTGCAAATATGATGGCCTTTAAGTATCAGGCCCTTGTTCAATTCAATTTATCCAAGGTACTAAATACACAAAAGAACCTCACACTCTGTTTCAGATGACCTTGCTGAAATTAACAATCTCACAAGTGGACATTTCTTGATTTTAGCTCCTCAGAGGATAGGAAAGAAGCAAATAGATACTAATAAGATACAGAAATCTATTCTGAACAAGGAGGCTGATATCCTTGGATCTTAAAGCCTTTTCTTTCTTCATTCAGTTTATAGAAATTTTTCTCCCCAGAATGTTGTATTTCATGTTTTTTCAGGCATGATTAAAAAAAAAAAGAAAGAAAGAAAAGAAAAAAGAGTCTTCTTGAGTTATAGAAATAGTATGGAATCCCAACTCTAACTGGGAAACCTGGAAGGAAGTTGTGCCAATGTCATGTTGTTTTCTAGTGGTGTAAGAATCCTTTGTCCTATAAGCTTGGAGGTGACAACAGTGGCCTGACTTGATATGTATTAATGCTGGTGTTCTATGTCTTCCAGCAGTCCCAGTGCTTAATATCAAATAGGTAGGTTGTTTTTTCTAATGTTAGACAAGAGTCCATGGCTTTTCTATAAGGAAATAGTTTGGAAATATTTTTAGCTCATTTTCCATTTCATCCAATGTTAGAAATCATAACCCAGCAATACCTACCAATCTCACTAAATGCTCAGATCTTTTTAGGTCAAAGACTTCTGCTTGAGACCTATACATACCTATGTTAAATCCCGTTTAGCCCAGTATATATGTGACATATTCTTTATTTATCCCAGAACTCTTAGGAACCGAAGTAAGAGCTAAAATCTGTTTCCCTATCAAAGCCTTCCTCCCACTCTGACCCCAATTTGAGAGAGAGGAGTGAGAATATGGAGAAACGTGAAGGTGACAATTTTCCTTAATCATGTTAACACATATTTAAGTACCAGCTAAATGGCTGATATGGAAGAAATAGAAAGACCCACTCTCTACCTCAAAGACCTACCATCTGGCAGAGGGAGAGAACAATGCTAACAAGTAAGGACACAATGTTTTTTAGGCAGCTATGACAGAAGATTTGACAAAGGACAGTGGGGGCATAAGACAAAGGGGTCAAATCTACCTGGAAATGGAGCATGTCAGGAAATGCTTCATCTTGAAATCTTGAAAAAGGACGTGAGTCTTGAAAAAAACAAATGAAGGCAGGTGCGAGTAGAAAAGGGGCCTACAGACAGGAGGAGTTACGGGAAGGAAGAGCTAGCGGTAGCACAGAAGCCAAGAAAATGTCCAAGTGTCCAGGGAATGGTTAAGTTACAAATGACAAGAGAAATCACTAGATTTGGGAAATGAGAAGTTATCCCTGACCTTTGCTAGAGCCGTTTTGATGGAATAGCAGGACAGAAGTCTGGCTGCTGTGAATTAAAATGGGTGAAAAGCATACAGACAAAAAATTAAAAGCAACTAGAGGACAAAAGAGATGACAACAGTTTAGATTTGTCTCCTGGAGCCATGTGCCTTTTTACTTACTAGCTCAGCCACAGTAAGGGTTAGAGAGACAGGCTTTACATTTCTATGAGAAAATGACTCCCAAACACAATTCACTAACTTAAAAACAAGTTTTCGGATACAATCTATTCTTTATGAGACTGCCTATGTTATTTTAAGTGAACGATATAAAATCAACATTTTACAGATTTACTCTGCCATCCATCACTAATTTTTCTCTCATATAGTTCAAAACAAATAACACCTGTAATTGGTTATAATAGAAAAGGTGCTTTATTTTACACATCATTGGTACATAACACATAAAACTGTCTAAAATCAGTCTTGGGAAATGTAACTGTCAGTGTATACCTTAAGCAGTCAAAGACCAAGTCTATTTTGCAACCTATTTCATTCATGGGCAGATTACTGCAATAACTTTCAACCTAATTATCTCTTCATAGGCAATGTTACAAGTGATTTTGATGCTACAAGTGCTGCAATTTTTTTAAATAAAAATACCTTCAGTTATAATAGACCAGATCTCTAACCAGAACAAATCTTGGCTAGACTACAAGTCTTTGAAATAACAGGCCAACAGTTTCACCTGCTTAGAGATGATTGTATTTATGTAATTGGGTTATAGAGCAAGGGGGCCTCATACATGCAATCAGATTGTTTTTTTTTAATGCAGGTAACAGTGAGTTTATAATACCCTATTTCTAGTTTAACTGCCAAAACAGTTTACTAAGCTAAAACAAAGCCAATACAATATCTTAGAAAATATAATTCTAAGAGCATGCAACATCAAAATCTTTTTACTACATATGTGAACCAAAGTTGTAGAGCCCAGGTAGAGGACTATGGCACAAAGGCTTGTACATCTGAATTGCTTATTCAGCAAGGAGGAGTAAAGAGTCATTTAACTCAGTGTAAATCCTCATATGAAAGATACCTGCATGATCTAGCCCACTGCTCCTCAAAGGGATCTTCGCTTAGAAAATGTGCAAATCATAGGAAGCTAAATGCACTTCTCTTGTTATTTACCCTAGTACATTCTATTCATGAACACGCAGCTTAAAGATCTGTTATTAACTATGAATGTCAAGCCACAGAGATCTCTCAATGGCATCTTTCAGTCACCAATAAATATGACCAGTGCTTAATGCACAAATGCCAAAAAACAAAACAAAACAAAACGATAACAGAATCTGGGCTAATTGTCAAAGTAAAAACATTTGTTATTTTCACAAATCCCTTGGTATATAGCAAGACTGCGTTTCTCTCTAGAAAAGAAGATGTATTTAGAACCACAGGTTCATAGCACAACAGAGGCATATAAGCAAAGTAAACTAAACCAAATACTAAATAGTTACAAATGTGCACACTCAAACAAATATTCTATTCTTTGCTTAAAGTCAACTTCGTCCTTGTCATTAAGGGAAGTGTTTCAAGATGCAAATTGTTAATTAATGCAGAGAATAAGGAGTTAAAAGCCAGACTTTTTTCTAATAAAGCAGATAAATCATTAAATTGGACTTGAAACATATACTTACTATAACTTTTCATTCTTACTCTTTTTATAACTAAACACACAAATATACACAAAAAACCCTAGCATTTAATATGTGCAAAACTGCTTACCATTTATTTTAACTTTGGTTAAGTATTTGTTTAGCCTATACCAGACATATTATGGAAGCTATACAAATGATTACAAACATAATAATGAGGTAAGTTAAAATTCTACTAGTGCAAAAAGCAAGCATATGCTAAAAGCAAAGCATATGAATTTAACAAATGCAGAATGAAGCTCTCACCAAGGGAGGTGCTGAGACAACAAACCAGAGAAGCTCCTTGTAAACATTGTTTGTAAAAATACACATTTAAAGATTTAGGATTCATACAGCCACAAAAAAGGTATTCTAATAACACCAGAGTAGTGCATTTATTTTACCTTTAGAGTTTGGAAATCACTCATTATGTGTCTAACAGCTTGCATATTTTCTTCAAGAGAAACTTAATTAGTGAGACACATTAATTACAAATACTGTAGTATAAAAATCCCAGTTCTTTACAAAAATTATATATTAAAATATTCTATACACTTTAAATTAGTAACTGGAACATACACATATATCAATCCTGCACAATTAAATCCATCGTGGCCGGGAGTATTATATGTGAAGCTCGAGGACACAGCTACTCAGTCCACCTGACCTGGCATAAGGTCGCATGGTAGAAACAGATAGGCCTGGGCCCCTGCAGTTATTACGGCTCTTAGTTTGAACCATCTTTTCTGCAGTTATATTGCTCTGTATATTCACTCCAGATTTGTATCGGCAGCAGAACCGGGAAATTCCTAAAAGGTTCAAAACAAGCTACCTGTGGCAGAGTATCCATAATGCCTATCTGCATCTTTAAGGTTGCAATGGGACCTGAGTAAGCTGTCTAATGCTTCTTTTTCAGTTGTAAAAAACTTTATACAATTTTGAGGTAAAAACAATGCAAAAATAAAACATTTAGAGCATTTACAAAAATCTTACAAATGTTTAAAACACTATTTCAAAACTTGTGTCCTGTTAAGGTGCTTCTTTCTTTCTGCGATAAAGAGGACATGTACTTCAATTTTGAATTTTAAATTCGCATGTTTTAGTTTCAGCAAAAGCAAAGTTAGAGCCATTAAAACACTTGCTAAAATGTTCACAGATATACTTTGCTTCTGATGAAAAGACAGCATTTTAGTGCTGAAAGAAACCTTATATGTAAATTCTTTTAACTCCCTCTTGTATTAATGAGGAAATCAAAGACCAGGTACATTAAGTGCTTTGGCCAAAAATATATTCCAATGTATCAGCCTGGTATGAATCAAGAAAACCCATTACTCTTTTTGTATTTTGCCATGATTCTTGGAAAATAAAGAAAATTCAAAACCAGAGTTTCTAAACTCGCCTCTTTCTTTTTTAATTTCTTAAGCTCTGTGCTAACTGTAGGTAAACAAAAAAATGAATCAAATAGCGGTTCCTAATATTAGTATCACAGATATTATCCAGTAGAAGACAGTTGTTAGAGAATCACTGCTCATATAGAATAATAAAGTTATAGGGAGTACTCAAAGACAGGGCCTTTACAATGGAGAGAACATCTACTAAGTAAGACAGCACAGTGTACAACAGCCAGTTACTAGAATCATCTCAATACCTCTAGGATGACTGAGTTACGTGGCCTTTAGAAAAGATATTGGGGTAATAAAGCCTTCTAGCTTTTATCTTAATTTTACTATTTTCCTTTATAAAAGAGCAGTTATATAACTGTAAGGATGAATCCATACACTAATTTTCAGAGAGTCTTTGCTTCTTTTCTATTTTTATTTGGGTCTAAAATTGAGCAAATACATTTTAAGAACAACTTACAAACTCAAACTCATAAGTGCTAGAAATACAGTCAGAGAATACTCTTTTAAATGACAAATCTTCATAACCAGTTACTAATAAATAATCATCACAATAGCTTCAGTAAAAAAAAAAAAAAACAAAAAAAAAACCAAGAAAAAAAACCTCAATTTAAAGGTGCTTTTTTATTGTTACCTTGAAGCCATCGAACTTGCGTAGCTGGTCCATATCCCTTTTCATTCTTTGCTGATATCCTGAACACAATGGCAGGCCTGGACGTATAATCGATATGTGCATTTGCAAGTTGCCCAGCAGTTACTATACATGATGTCTTAAGACCACAATAAATCCTCATAAACACAAGTTGACTTGGATTATCTTGTATTTGTGCTGTGCGGATAGCCAGGTAGGCTGAATATTCCAAAATATTTCCAGAAGGTGAAGTTGGAGGTTCCCAGGAAAGGTGGATACCCTCAACATTCTTGAAGAGAGGAGAAAAAACAAAAACAAAAACAGGTAAAGGTTCTGAAATTTTCTCTAATATCACTTATAATGTTGAGTCTATCTTTAGAACACAAAATATTGTTTTTTGCTAAAGTAATTGCATTAGATATTAGAACTTTTATTACCGATTTTTTTAAACTTACCTTAATTGGATTTACAATGTTTACTTCATTGCCCACTTTTCAATATCATAACTAGGCTTAAATGTCTGCCTATACCATCCCAAGAAAGGGATTTTTCTTACCTGAAAGCAGATCTTTTCTTCTCTAAAGAGGGGCAGGACCTTAGGATAAAATATAATTCAATTTCATGTGTTCTATTAAAATTCTCCAACACAAACTTTTTGGTTCCATACAACAAGAACAAAGTTAATATTAAGAAGCATACCAGATTTCTCTGACTTTCTAGAATTTGGATGCTGTAATTCTGCTTGAAATTTGGTCCTTAAAATTATGAGTTATTAGCAAGCAATATTTTTTAAACTTTTAATCCACCCCACTTATTACTTGATTTTTCAAAAACTGAAATAGTGTTGACACACAATGTTACATTGGTTTTTAGATACCCCTTTTAGATGCCTCTCATTTCATCGGTTACTAACAAGAATCTCTAAACTGATGGTTTTACTTCATGTATAAACTTTCAATAAATAAATCACCAAGACTTGACCGGACATCTCACCTTTGAAATTCTGACTGCAGAAGGAGCTCCAGGAAAACCGGGAATACAAGTTTTAAATTCACTGATCTTGCTGAAAGGGCCTATTCCACATCCATTGATGGCTGCTACCCTGAATCTGTATCCTGTGCCTGGAACAAGATCTTGTTTCTTAAGTAAACTGTAGTCAGGTACGTCCGCATTTCCTATCTAAAATGTAACATATACAAAAGTCAAAGAAAAAGTGCAATTAATTATTTTGTCATTAAACAAGAAAATTTTTCAAAGAATGAATTATGTTTTAAGGTTCTAGTTCACATTTAATTTTTTCCCTCTGTCACACATGGAATAAACCCTCCAAATACAAAAGCAACTAAGCCTATAAATCAGTGATTCTTATCTGGAGGAAAAGTGACCTTTCCAGTTAAAAACCACTGATTATAAAAAGAAATTTAAGCATATTCTGCACATGAAGAATGTAAAGGTAGAAAAAAACTGACAACCACTATAAGCAAAGAAACAACCATCCATATAAACTTAGAATAGAAATCTCAGAGGAATTCTTCTCAGTCTAACCAGAAACAATACCCTTTGGATACAGGCAAGCAAACTTGCCAGAAAAGAAGTGATCAGCATGTATTATGGAGCATTTTAAAAATTAATATTCAGCAGATGCTGAACAAATGTTAAATAATTTGATTGTATACTCTGGGTAGAAAGATCATAACATTCATAACTTTCAAACAATTTTTCCATATTTTCCCTCTCACTGCACCACTGTGAGACAGGTAGTCCTAATGTGTCATTCCCATTTTTAAGGGAGCTTTATCATTTTTATTTTATAAGTGAGGAAACTGAGTCTCAGGTTAAACAAGTGACTTCTCCAAGGTCACACTGTTGAGTGCTGGAACTAATGATTCAAACCCAAGTTTACTGACTCTAAATTTTATGCTGTTTTTCTTTTGGGAAAAACAGGTAATTACTAGGCCCTTAGATATTGTTATTTCTAATATATGAAATTAAGCTACAGCCAGAAATTTCATTAGGTATAATACTAACAAATTATTCACCAGCATTTTCATTTTTGTCAACAATTGGAAAAATTCTATATGAAAAAGAGAGATGCCAGAGGTAATATTAGAGAAACTAAAATAGAATGATAAATGATATATTGTCCGTTTGTGCAGGTCTTTGGGAGAGTCAAACTAAGTAGCTATTTCCTTGGCAATTCACTCTCTGAAATCCCCCATTCCAGAAAAAAATTAGTTCAGTGTGCTTTGGAGCTGTTATCTATTTGATAATTCTTAGAGGGTTAATGTTTATATATATGAGTTCCACTTTAAGGGGTTTCAGAATCAAGAGAAAACTAGATTGTATTCCTTCATCTACAGAGGCTATTAAATTTTTTAAGTTGTGAAATCAGGAATTAAAAAAGTTCTAAGAAAAAATGTTCCATTCTCTAAACATACCAGATAACAAAATTAGAGGTATTTAAAAGACATCCTTATCTGTACTGGCCAGACCATATTAATTTTGACTCAAAATCCAGCCCAGTGATTGTATAAGATTTTTTTAAGTGACCTGCTTATGATACAGTCCATAAAAAGAGCCTTATAAAAGAATACAAGATAAGAAGGCATATAGAACTCTTAATTATAGACTGTGAACAGATCCCAATTTCACTCATCCAAAGTGACTTCAATCAGGGTTATAAAAAAAGACCTCATTTGTGACACTTACAAACTCACAGTGTAGAAAACATATCAATAGCTACCTTTGAGATGCTTTGCTTCCCTTTGGGCAGCAAATAAAACTGGCTCACCAAAGCTGTGTTATTTTTAAAAATTCCTACATCACACCACTGTCGTTCTCCTGCTTTCACTGTGGCCACTGGATTTGAAGGAGTCTCTTTCTAATTTTAGAGAAAGAAAAATTTATCAAGACTCTTATTGAGCATATAAGAAACTTCAAGATTTAACAAATCCATGCAGTGATCTACAAGTAGGTATACGGGTAAACACCACAACATTAACAGCTCATAAGTAAATAAACTCTTAACAGATTAGGTCAACTGACAGTGAAACAGGGATGCCAATTCAAACATGGGGAGTGACAGGCATTCTCCAAGTCAGTAGCTCTGGACTATCAACCTAGCTAGAGTTAGCATGCTTTCCAATCAGTGATTTGTTAAACTGCCAGCTGTTTTATAGAACATTGTCATTTCAGAGACTCTCTCAGAAAATGTAATCCCTTTAGTGTGACATTATACCTTGCTCCAAAAGGAGCAAATAAGGAAAAATTCATTCCAAGCTGGCTTATTTCTAGATTCAAAAACAACTAGCAGAAATTCAGTGATCTTTGCACTTGAAATACCTGTGATTCTCCAAACCTAAAAGGAGAAAAAATGTTCAAAACTAAAATGCAATTTGAATATACTTTAGTATATACTAAAGAGGAGCAGATTAAACAGTTTTACATTTTTTACCTTGCTTTAAAACAAATACACTTCCTCTACCTTAAACTACTTTTAGTGATAAGTGAATTATACTTATCCCTGGAACTAACCTTTTTAAGCCATCTTCTTTATAAATGAGACACTGTTTCCAGAAGCTCAAAACAAATGTGCACTTCAGTTATTTATTTCTGTCTTAAATATATAACAGCAGAGGTACATGCTTATAATTCACATTATTTGTTATTTAGGCTATCACACATGACAAAGTGAGCTAACTAGAAAAGTCTTTAAGTTTTTAAAAAAAGGAATAGCTTTAAACTTGTTTTCATTTTTAAAGTTGTAAAAACTCTCTTCAACAACTTTTATAAAACAACTGGCTCCAACTGAAATAACAAATACCATTCTGTCTGATGTGCTGCAAGACAGATTGAAGAGAAAAACGTTCCCTTTAATAATTTTTCCCTGAGTCTAAGAACTCTAGGACCTAACGTAACATTCTGGAAAGGTGAAAGCTGATGAAGATAAAACTACGATCAAAATCCATAAAATCATGATTGAAAGGAAACTAAAACTACAGATAATTCTTGAAGATGCTAAGAGGTAAATATTAGGTCAAATAAAAACTCTTGCTCATAGCAATAAAGCTGAAATGACTCAGCATTTTAAAATAAATTAAAAGGTATATACACACACATGCACACACACACATATGTATTACCCTTGTATTTATGTAATTAAGACAGTTGTGTATACTTGTGAGGCACATTCCTAGCATTTTAAGTTTGGTGCCATGCAGACCAGTTCTGGCCTTTCATAAAACGATGCCATGTTGTAGATTATTGGCCTACCCAATAGGTATGCCTACCCAATTTTTATTTTCATATTGCAATATTCTGCTGTTCTCCTAAGAAGTAGCTAGTAATAGAGCCATTCAAGTTTTCCATTCTGTACCATGTCCTTTTACTCTTAAACCACTAATGTAACTTACATATATACGTATATATGTTCACATACACACATATATATTTCTGATTATGAAAGTAACACATTTCACTATACAAAAATACTGAAGGCCCAAAGAAGAAAATAAAAAGCATCTATGGTCGCACAACCTGAAGAAAGTCATCCAGCATTGTAGTATGGATGTATGTGGATTCACGTGAGAGTAGGAATGTATCTACTGTGTGAATCTTTTAATAAAATTGGGACCACAGCATATCTCTATTACTTTTTATGCAGCTTTTTTTCACTTAGTGTATACTGTAAACATTTTCCTATTCAAGCCTTCATTTCTCAATCTATGTCAAGTCATTACTAAAGGACACTCAAGAATCTTCTCATGAATTCACGCTGAAGTTGCTCAGCATTTAAAGCATACTTGGCCACCTGTAAACACAAGTGATCTTCAGGTCACGTACTTACAGAAAATGACATCGCTGTGGCCTGTGTTTCCACACGGCTGATCTTAGTTGCAGGCAGGGCACATGTATCATCAACTAAAAACCAAACAATTCATCATATAAGACTTACATGATCACTTATCAAACAGACACATTAAAATATAATTTATAAACATAAAAAAATAGCCCCAGGGAGAAAAGCACAATAATTAGAAATATGGACCCTCTAACTCAAATTCATTCACAATGTTCATTTCTCAAGGGTTTGATGGCCAGCTAGAACTTCAGAGAACGTTTACCAAAGATGAAACACAATTCTTATAGCAAAAGAATGAAACGAGAATTTATAAAATCAGAAATCTATCAAGCTGGAGGAATTGTTACCCCATAGTCTAAAGAATAAATCTTTTCTATGGAAAAAAAATTTGCTGAATACATTCACAGTAGGAAAAACACATTCTGAACGTATTTTGGTGTGTGCTGATTTAAATATTTTATGGAAGGCAGAAGAGTATGTTATATAATAATTTTAATTGGAATGTTTTATCTGTTTATATATAACTCAATCCAAGATGAAATGCAATTCCCATCTAAACAAGTAAGTTTGATGAATTTATATACACAAATGGTTCAAAATACAGTATGTGAAACACATTTCAAACCTTCAGATTTGGTACTGAATGTTGTTAGTGAAGTTTCATCTTTAACAACTGCCCCATTTGTACTGGATGATTCAGTTTTAATGGTCTGCTGGGTTACCATAGTTTGTGCGCTGGAAACAGAACTGGATACAGAAGTTTCAGGGATTACTGTTCTTAAGTCCAGGCAACTACTTAGAACACCTATATTTGCTGAAGTATGAGGACCTAAAATTAAAGCGAAAAAAACAATTATTAACATAACGCCTGCAATAAATGTGCTATCTTATTATGGTTCTTGTCACACGTTCTTGGTATTTCAATTTTAAAAATCATAAACACAGGCACTGCAAATGTCATGCATATGAATTAACCATTAGGCTAAACATAAAATGTTTAGAAAAATAAGTGGACTACAGGGGCACCTGGGTGGCTCAGTCAGTTGAGCTCTAACTCTTGATTTCGGCTCAGGTCACGATCTCAGTTTGTTGAGATCGAGCCCCATGTCAGGCTCTGCGCTGACAGCATGGAGCCTGCTTGGGATTCTCTTTTTCCCTCTCTCTTTGCCCCTCTCCTGCTCATGCACTCTCTCTCTCTCTCTCTCTTAAAATCAATAAATATTTTTTAAAAAATAAAGAAAAGAAAAATAAAATAAAATGTACTACATAGATAACAGATGTCTAACTTCTCAGGTCCTTCTTCCATTCTAAACACTGAATCATTGTTCTTGGACTCTTCTAAATCATAGATCAAATGCCTTGCCTCCCACTTTAGGGGAAGAAACAGAAGTCATCAGGCATGAATGCCTTGAGTTTTCTGCCTTCTTCTGCCCTAAACTAGAAACACATTTATGATTGGGCCCATCCTTTCTATCTTCTCTTCCATTTCAGAGGACGAACTGACCTCTTTCCAGAGGAAGGATAATCAATCCTCCTGTGATCCTGGTTCTATCCCTTCCCCATATTTTGGGACCCTCTTTTATCAATCATTTCTTTCTCTTCAGGGTTTTCAGATTCTTTTTTCATTAGCAGTTTTTGGCGCTCAGTCCTTAAACATTATCAAGTGTCTCAAGCAAACAAAACACCCATCTTCTTTGACCCCACAAATCTTCTCCAGTTGCCATTACCCCTCACTAATTCCTTCAGAGCAGTCTCTACTTCCCTGACCTCCTCAAATTTGGTTTCTACCCCTCTACTCTAATGAAATGGCTCTGGCAAACGTCAATGATTTCTAAGGGATGCTTTTCAATTTCCACTTACTTGACCTTTCTGCAACATAAACAATGCCGACCACATACTCCTTTTTTGAAGTTGTTTCTTTCTATGACTTATAATTACTCATTCCACAATATTTTTTATGCTTATTTATTTTGAAAGAGAGAGCGAGAGAGAAAGAGAGAACAAGCAGGGCAGGAGCAGAGAGAGAGAAACCCAAGTGGGCTCCACGCCATCAGCGCAGAGCCTGAGCAGGGTTCCATCCCACGAACTGTGAAATTATGACCTGAGCAAAATCAAGAGTTGGATGCTTAACCAACTGAGCCACCTAGGCACCCCTCACTCCACAATACTGAGGACTTACTATTTACCAGATATCGTGCATGCTTCTACAATGGTTAAATAAAGCAGGCATGGTTAATACTTCATGAAGTTATAATCGTGTGGTAGAGAAACATGCATACACAAACTGAGATGACCACTACTGAGAAAAAAAACAGGACACCAATCTACTTGGTTCTTTTCCTGGCCTTTTAAGAACCCCTTTTCAATCCCTGTAGCTGGCTTCTTCTCTTCAGATGACTTTTAAAAAAAAAATTTTTTTTCAACGTTTTTTATTTTATTTTTTGGGACAGAGAAAGACAGAGCATGAACGGGGGAGGGGCAGAGAGAGAGGGAGACACAGAATCGGAAACCGGCTCCAGGCTCTGAGCCATCAGCCCAGAGCCTGACGCGGGGCTCGAACTCACGGACCGTGAGATCGTGACCTGGCTGAAGTCGGACGCTCAACCGACTGCGCCACCCAGGCGCCCCTTCAGATGACTTTTTAAATGCAGGTGTTCCCAAGCCTTCTCTTTTCTCCATTTACATATTTTCCTATGTTTTCACTACCATTCATAAATCATACATCTCTCAAATACATATATCCTGGACACTGCCAGGTGCTAAGAATCTCGCAGTGAACAAGTCAGATAAAGTCACTGCTCCTTGTGGGGCTTATATTTTAGTTACCTTTAATTTCTAAATTTATACTCCAGCCAAAAATTACCACCTAGACTCTACACCTAAATATCCAACTGCCAATTAAAAATCTTTACCAGTATGTTCCTCAAGTGTCTCAAAAACACTAAGTTCAAAGTTGAACTTACCTTTTTCCCAAATCTGTTCTGGCTCCTATATTTCATTTCTTGATAAAGAGTATCATCACTCATTGAATATACAACCAAAAAACTGGGAGTCATGGTAAACTCGTTTTTATTTCTCATATCCAACCAGTTTCCAAGGCTAGTAATAGATGTTAGTTTCTAAAACTCTCAGAAATGATATATTCTCTCCTCTCCATTCCACCCACTGCTTCAGTCTCTGGTTATCTCTTAGAGTCCTAAAAGAACCTTCTACGAAGCCTCCCAATCATTTCCTACTCCAGTTCTTCTGATGGTGAGGCCAGAGTGTTCTTTCCAAAACAACAATAACAACTAACCATGTCACTCTTCCACTTTTGAAACATACCAGCTACTCCAACCTACAAAGAAAAAGGTCCAATCTCCCCTTGTTAACCTGAGATTGGGTAGCCAATCATTCACAGATTTGAATGTCTACGATCTGTCAGTGAAACTGTCGCTGTACAACCACTCTGGTTTTCCCATTTGTTTCGTACTAATTTTTTCTAAACTGTCTTACAACATACGATTTAGAGTACATTAAGATTCTGAAATCTCAAAGCTCCTATTTGTTTTCAAGAGCATAAACTTCTTTATAAGATAGACACAGAAAATCACTATAAGAAAGAAATATAAATTGAGGTCCAGGACCAGGCTTTTATAATTTTAACCAAATGATTCCACCTGAAAATCAATAAAACAAAAGTGCTCTCCTTTTGCACAGGTGATGAAATAAGGAAAAATTACAGGAAATTATTTTCATTGAATATTCTTACCTACCACAGACTCATTAAGAAAAATGGAAATAAAGGTGTGCCTGGGTGGCTCAGTTGATTAAGTGTCTGACTTTGGCTCCAGTCACGATCTCATGGTTCATGAGTTTGAGCCCCACATTGGGCTTTCTGCTGTCAGCATGGAGCTCGCTTCGGCTCCTCTGTACCCCACTCTCTCTCTGCCCCTCCCCCTCTTGCACTGTCTCCCAAAAATAAACATTTAAAAAAAATGGAAATAAAAATAATATTCATCTTGTTAAGTTTGTATCACTGAAGAGGCATTAGATTTATATCAGCTGTCATGACTTTCTCAAATTAAAAATAAAGTCACATTTCTTTTCTTTCTTTCTTTCTTTCTCTCTCTCTCTCTCTCTCTTTCTTTCTTTTTTAATTTTAGAGAGAGAACACAAAAGTGAGGTAGGGGGGCAGAGGGAGAGAGAGAATCCCAAGCAGGCTTCACGCTCAGCCTGGAGCCCAACACAGGGCTTGATCCCACAACCCTGGGATCATGACCTTGGCCGAAATCAAGAGTTGGATGCTCAACCAACTGAGCCACCCAGGCGTTTCTAAAGTCACATGTTTCTATGTCAGGGACATCAGAATGAGATTTATAAAATAACTTTAGATACTGAAATCAGATACAATGTATCTGAAATGGCATCAGAATATTCAAAAGAACTCATTTTAAATATAAGGATCACCAAAGTACAAGCTGTCGCATGAATGTAATCAACAGTTCTCATAAATGAACTATCTTTCTGAGGATAATCCAGTTATTTCCTAAACAAATATTTACTAAATGACTACTATTAACCAAGCATGGATCTGGGTGCTGAGGAAATAGAGATGAACAAGAAAACCCCTGCCCCAAATAGATAATTTCAGATAGTTCTAAGTGCTAAGAAAATACAGTAATGTGGCTAGTTTATTATTATTTTGAAAATGGATCAAAACCATAGAACATTTACTTTTTCAGAGACTATAATTCCCTATCGTTATTATAAAAAGCTTTGGCTTTACTTAAAGTGCCATCTTTGAGACACCTGAGTGGATGAGTTGATTAAGCATCTGACTCTTAGTTTTGGCTCAGGTCATGATCTCATGGTCTGTGAGTTCGAGTCCTGTGTTGGGCTCTGCACTGATGGCACGGCACCTGCTTGGGATTCTCTCTCTCTCTGCCCCTCCCCTGCTCACACTCTCTCTCTCTCTCTCAAAATAAATAAACATTTTTAAAAAATGCCATCTTTATACCTTCATTTTTCCTTAACATATCCACAACACAACTATTATGATTAGAAGTATTAGTTGCCATAGATGGATGTAAAGCAGCATTAAAATCAGTTGATGCTTTGAGATCTGGTCTGTTTTTCACAGAAGTTCCTTTCATAGGTGTATGTTCAGTTTTTGCACTGTTCGTTGTATCGCTGATCTATAAGAAATAAAACAGTTTATTGTAGCAAGCAATGTTCAGTTAAATAGAAATACATGTGAAAAACAAGCAAAATAATTTACAACTTGAATGCTTTTGAAAATAAGTTTACCAAGATATAAAACAGTTTAAATTATACACTTAATTTGTATAGGATTATTCTTTAAATTTTACAACAGTTTAAAAAACCCATTTCCTCCCTTAATCTCCATTCTCAGAAGACCAGTTATAAAGGGGAATAGGAGGGTATATTCTGAGGGGGGGGACCCCAGACTATGTTTTATGAGTGGTAGTTAGTATGCAAGTAAATATGTATGCAGCACAGGCGACAACAACAGAGCTACTGAGTTTAACACATTTGTCCAATTTTCTTAACAAAGTCAACATGGATTTTAAAGACCTGATGACTCCTAAAAATAAAATCTCAGTTCAAGCAAATGAATTATTCTATATGACTGAGTTTCCAAATAGATATCAAGATTTAATACATACACGTATCAATATTCTTTGCCATTAAACATTTTTAAATAGCAGTCTCTTTAATTCTGTTTTTCTTTGCCTTCTTGTACACACTATAATGAACACATTTAAACTTTTTGATAATTCAGGTCATCAAGGTCAACATCAGTTACTATACAGCAATATATATGGGTCTAGTGAGCCATAAAAGTTACCTGGCTTCATTCAAAAACCCCAATATTGCTGCCCCCTTCTACTTACCTGTTTTTTGTGACTTTTCTGTCTCCATTGTCAATTATAACTTCTCATGGCTCTAGGATATTTGTCCACAGCAGCCATGTTCAGAACACGTGAGCTTATCCCTACATCACTTCCCTTGAAACGAATCTACTGTATATGCAGACAGCAGCTTGCCATATAAAACCAGTGTAAATCCTAGTGAGCTTATTCATTAGTCTCTACAGATTCCTACTGTGAAGCACTTCATAAACAAGAAATAACCTCACAAACATCAGTGTTCAACTTAGCAACTCATATTCTTTGGCCAATGAAGTACATAGTAAAGAAATATATTTCATATGCATTTTTGAAGTACATCTTTAGAAACTTAAAACAGGAGTGTGTATGATACTTAGAAATGTCAAAATACAGATTTCAAGACACCGTAAGTATAAATTATAATGGATTAGCCTCTGATGCTGTGTGCAATGAAGGTAGACTTTAGTCTCCTGGTTAGGGGTTCTCAATCCAGGCCAGTGCCACAGTGCTCTATGGAGCTTTTCCTTAAAACCTGAGTTACCTGGGCATCATCCTAAAGATTCTGATTCATTAAATCTCAGGAAAGGCTTGGGATTCTGTATATGTTTGTTTGTTTTTTAATCTCAGAGGTGATTCTAATATGCAGCCAGAGTTAAGAACCTCTGTCCTAGGGTAATATGCTACAAATATTAATAAAAATTGGGACTCTAACCATAAACATTCATTTACCATCATAAATTTTTGTTTTTAACTTACACTGTTAGGAACGGTGCTATTACTGCCTGGTCTGTGAGGGTCCATTCTGACTCCTGTAGGAATGAGAAAGTTCAGACTGACATGCTCTAAATTAGCTTCAATAAAATATATTACAATCAAGTATTTCTGAAAGTTATGTATTAAAGCTTAAAAAGTAGTATCTTTATCAAAGTTAATCTATTTTCTTAATAGTCTGCTTACTGGTTGATTGAAATCCTTTCCAAAAGAACATGTAAAACGAAATCTGCTTTTACTTTCCAAGTGCCTATTACTTTGAATACTTGTTTAAAAAGCTGAAATATTTATGAAAGCTAATTAAAACCATCTCCTGAAGTCAGGTAGCATGTCGAAACAAGGAAGTACATCAGAGTGAACTGCAGAAAAAACATTCTATCCTATGTGTCTATGCGTTCTACCTACCACATCATGATGGGAAGACAGGCAAGTTTCGGAACTGAAATGCAACATATTTGATTAACCAGGCAGAAAACATCACATCATAACATTTTTAAAACTAGGCCTAATCACAGGCTTTCCTGTAGTCACTTTTTAAAAAAGCATCTGAACATGCAAGCTTCCAGGTGAAAATTATGTTACCTTGTAGATTTGGTGCCAGTGAGGAATCTGATGATGCAGTTTGGTGTGGCAAGTCTGTATTCAGCTGCAAAAGATAGCCCTCAACTGTAGGCACTTCATCCCATTTGACGTGGAAAGAGTTGGTAGTGGCTTTGATCAGCTGTACTTGTGATGGTGCCGGCGGTTTCTCTAAAGAACAATATTGATATTATACTTTTAAGTTTCAAATGTATCAAGAGTTTGCTTGTACAATTTGTGTGGGCCTGGGGCTCTGAAAACATCAGCAATGAGTATTTCACCTGTTTACCCACAGGGAGATGTATTCAGATAAACTTAGCTATAGTAGGTCGAATGAAAACAGTTTGGGGTTCTGGTCCTACTTATTTATTTAATTCCTTATACAAATAGAGAGAAAAATTCCAAGCCATGTGAGTCACCAGAATCAGAAAGAAATATTTAATCCCAGAAATGGGGGCAGGGCACCAAGTATTTTATAGTTAGAGCTACATTATTTTACCTATGTAAGTTTTTAATTTAACGAGCCAATTTTCAGCCAATAGCATACATGTTAGAAATACTGTCAGTGCTAGCAAATATGATTTGGACATGATATTTTGGGAAAACACAACTTCTTGAAGTTAATACCCTTTTATCAAAACTTGTACTACCCCAAACAGGTAACTACTTTGATGTAAAATATTACAACATTTCCAAAACAAGTAACAATCATAGGCTTTTAGAACTAGAAAGAAGGATCTGAGATTATTTCTACAATATCCTTGTCCTCTTTTTGTTTACCTACCAATTCAGGGAACTCACAATTCCTAAGGGAGTACATTCCATCTTTGGACAGTTACATAAGAAAATTTAGTCTCCTAGTGAGTTGATATCTATAAGCTATATTTTAATCATTATAGAACATGTCTGATATCTATCTTTTTGTATCTTTTAGAGAAGGGATCAGCAAACTGGCTGGCTTATGGGCTAGATCCAGTCTATGACTGTTTTTGTAACTAAAGTCTTGTTGAAACACAGCCATGCTCATTTGTTTATGTATTAGTTATGACTGTTTTCATTCTACAGCAGCAGAGTTGCATAGTTATAACAGAGACCATACGCGGCCTGCAAAGCCTAAAATATTTACTATCTGACCCTTTACAGAAAAAAACTGATGACTATGATTTGGAGGATAAGTAAGCCTAGTTCCTTCAACTATTCCCCATGTAGATTCCTCCATGATCCTATTCACAACCCAGTTTATTTATGTTTCTTAAAGACAACCCACATAAGGAAACAAAAAGAAGACAGGTCCAAGAAGTATACTACTTACACAACAAAAGCTTACATGAAGAGAAAATAGAGAAAACAGAAGGATGCACATCAATGAAATAAATCAAGAAAATTCCCAGAACTAAAGAACATGAGTGTACAGACTAAAAGGGCCCAATGAGTATTCAACACACGGGGTTAAAAATAGATGCACCAAAGCACATCACCATGAAATTTAAGAATAATGGACACAAAAGTCCCAAAAGCTATCAAAGGTGAGGGGGAAGGTCACATTTAAAGAAACAAAAATCAGGGGTGCCTGGGTGGCTTAGTTGGTTAAGCATTCGACTCTTGGTTTTGGCTCAGGTCATGATCTTGCAGTTAATGAGTTCGAGGCCTGCATCGGGCTCTGTACTGACAGTGCAGAGCCTACTTGGGATTCTCTCCCTCCCTCTCTCTCTCTGCCTCTGTTGCATACACTCTCTCTCTCAAAATAAATATGTAAATTTAAAAAAAAAGGAACAAAAATCAGAAGTGGTTTGGGTTTCTCAACAAAAACACTAGAAGCTTAAATACAATATAACAATGCTTTCAAAATTCTGAAGCGTAAGGACATCCAGTGTCGAATTCTATTTCCCTGCAAATAGCCAATTAAATGGAAGGAAGACTGAATATATTTCCAGACAATGCAAGATCTGAAAATAAATTTATCTCCTATGCACTCTTTTCCTGGGATGTGTTCCACAAAAAAAGAAAAAGTTAACTAAGAAAGGGAAAAATACAGGAACTAGAAACAGGGAATCTGGCACAGGTGAGAGGCAGAAGATATCTCCAGGAAGATGATGAAGGGAGACTCCAGGATGATAGCTGTGCACGATTTGTGGAGCAGGAGAACCATGCCAACCATCCCAGATTGGAGCAGGAGATGGTTCTTGTCTTTTCTTTTTTTAGTTTATTTATTTATTCTGAGAGAGAGTGAGAGAGAGAGAGAGCGAGCACGAGCAGGGGAGGGTCAGAGAGATCATGACATGAGCCGAAACCAAGAGTTGGATGCTTAACTGACTGAGCCACCCAGACAAGGAGCCCCAGGAGAAATTTCTTCAAGATGATGAAATATGATAGAATATATCTGATGCATCTAACCATAATGAGAGAAGATTTAAACAAATTAAAGAGTATGGACTGAATTGGTGGTAAATACATACAAATCAAAGACAAACAAAAATGACAATTATTAATCCATGGCATGGCTCGCCTGTGAACAGTGTTTATATGGTCATAATGTAAACAATGACTACTCATCTAACAAAATTGCTGCATAACCATATTGAGAGAATGAGGGTAGGAAAGGTATAGAGCAGAGAAGCAAGGAATGGTGGGAAGAAGAGATAAATCCTTAACTGTTATAGTAGAAAGTGATCATTTTATGCCTAAACTGAAAAAAATCAAAGTAATATATTAATGTTATATGGAAATATGGAAGGAAATCCCAAAAGGATTGTTTAACAGAGTTGAAAGCAGATGCTTGTGAAGCAAGGAAAATGAGAGGAAGGTGGGAGCAAAGGACTATTTTTAATAAAAAGCCTTATGGCATTATTTACTCTTAAATGCTATCAAATTCACAAAGATTAACTATAAGTGAAAAAAAGCAAGATGAAGAGCCCTCATTTCCCCAGTTCCCAAAATTCATGCCAACTTATCAAGAGGAGAAGCAAAATCTAAATTCCAACTTTATGATAGTAGCCATGATTACTTTTAAATTGACATCATCTAAGGTTTATGGAAAAACTGGCCATTCAGAGCCAGTAATTTTTAATCTTTTAAAAGTCACAGATCGCTTAGACAATCTGCTTCAAGTGATGTATTCACTACCAAGAAAAATTTATACACACACATTTTTTCTTCCAATCTCAGGGATTGAAGTTTATCCTTGGACTTCAGGTAATAACTCCCAATTTCAAAGATGCAACAGTAAGTTGGATTTCCTATATTCCTTTCCCGCTTGCTAGTATGTGCTTCTTCCACACAAAGCATTTAGTCTCTAACTTTGTTGTTCAATTTATTATTTTTTCAATTATCTTTTTTTATTTTTTTAAATTTACATCCAAATTAGTTAGCACACAGTGCAACAATGATTTCAAGAGCAGATTCCTTAATGCCCCTTACCCATTTAGCCCATCCCCCCACCCACAATCCCTCCAGTA